ACAGGCATGCAAACCTTCAACTAGGCATCCAGCAGCTGCCTATCCAATGGGAAATACTGGAAAGGCCCACGGGCAAAGGAAGGATCAAATAAACAAACAAACAAAAAAGCCTTCCTCAAGAGGGAAGCAAAACCATTCTGTAAAAGCTCCAGCCTCCTACTGATTTGCATGATCTGAGAGTCTGGGAAATGCCTGCCTCCTATAACACATTTTAATTATAGCAAGATGTGTCATTTCAAGTTAATTGCCTATATAACTCATGAAGGACCGCTGAATGGAGCTTTCTGTATTTCAGTATTCCCCACAAGCTGAGTGCTTCTGCGGCCACCCAAGAGAGATTCAGATGCTGCCCAGCTGATTAATAGAGTGCCCAGAGCTGGCAGCATGTGTTTCTACTGGCGGTGCACATCCATGCCTACCTGGGTGTACAAAAAATATATTCCCCACATATATGGGAAAAAATAGAGGGTACATTGTTCACAGTGCAAGGACATATTCTATTTCTAGGGTGCTTAACATAATTTTGTTTATCCCTTTGAAGGCAGTAACAGAAATCTTTCTCCTTTTAACAAATCTTACCCCATTATTTCAAAAATGAAATATGCATGTGATTGAAAGAGGCAGTGTACATGTAGTGCCTTTCAAATATGGTTCTTCCACCTGGCCCCTATTTTACCAATGAGTAAACAGAGGCAGAATTTTCAGAAGGGCTCCACATTTTCCAAAAATGCTCAGCTCCTCTTTAGGAACCTGAATAAGTGTCCGAATTGTCAAGAGAACACATTTTGCAGTGTCCATGATGGATGCTCAGCTCTGTGATTGGATTTGTCACACTGGAGCAGGGTTCATCTAGTCCAATATTCTGTCTTCAACAATATCCATTACCAGATGCATACGGTTTAAAATCACTTCCAACATTTTTGTTAGTATTAACTATTATAATTTTGGATATTTTTCCTAGGCACATAAATGTCAAAACTTTTTTAAAGCTTGATACATTTTTAGCCTCACTGGTTTCCAGTGGCAATAAGTTCCACAATAACAGAATGTTGGGTGCAAAAAGAATTTCCTTTTATCAGTTTTGAATTGAATAGAAATTCTGGTACAGAGTGTCACAGTGGGAGTGTTTGGTTCCTGCGCACTTTTGAAAATCCCTGCTGTGGGCTTCAAGATTCAAGCCAAAATTTTCCAGAGCACCTAATTTTGTAGGTGTCCATCTTGACACATTCTAAAGAGGCCTGTTTTTCAGTGCCATTGTTTTTCAGTGTTTTTAAGTTTTTATCTGCCCTCTGAAAATTAGGCCAATCTAAGTCATGTAAAGTTAGCCTCCCAGAATCCCTAGTCACTTGTTAAAGTCTTGGCCTCACTGATTTACCCAAAGTTCACTCAGCAGGAGACAAATCAGATCAAGAAAAAAGCCAAGTATGTTCCTATCTATAACCACCAGACCCATGAACAGGGGGCAGGAGGAGAGGCAACTGCTCTGGGGACTGGTTATTCAAAAGGGTGGAGGCTTCCAGCCACCACTACTGTAGCTGGAGCCCCAGTTCCTTTAAATCACCACCAAGTGCCATACAGTGCTCCAGGTTGTTCTAGGTACGGGGGGCAGGCGAGTAATGTGGCATGCTCTGGGTGGTGCTGAGGCTGGCTGCTGCAGTCCCATCCCTTCTAGAAGCATGGAGCAGCCCCTTCCTTTGCCCAGGGCCCCAATTGGGCTGTCAGTTCCCTGGAAACCACATACACATTCCCTACAGGCAAGGCAAATTGTTCTGAGTTCAGGTACAACCATGCTTTTGTAACTTATGAACTTCTTCTGATCTGGTAACAATAACAACAATAAAAGAGGTCTGTTGAGTTGTGTCCACATAGCATATTTTCTTTACTAAATGATTGAGTTTCTACACTTTCCAGGACACCCAACTGTAGTTGTATCAATGTTTGGCAGGGACCAGGGAAGGTGGCAGAATGTAGACAGCAATCCTGTAGTGCCTCACTACCAGAGAAAGAGCCTGAAAAGCAGCTAACAAAGCAGCACCACCAGCAGCATGTTCAGCAATGCACCCTAGGAGGTCCTATCACACAGAATACTGAGAAGAAGGAGGACTGGACAACCCAATTACACTAGCAGAGTTGGTGAATCCAATCAATATTATTGTTAAAAAAAATAAAGCATGCTGAGCCAGTTATAGCAAGACAACCAAGGTCACTGACATAATAGTTGCCATGGTTACTTCCAGATTACTAATCATGGTGTATATAGACCAAAATCACATTGAGAGCCAACCATATTATAAAATCAGTAGTAGTGAGGCCAGAGCCTACGGGGTGGTCTTTGTTCTTTACCTGAGCCTGGGATTTGTCAGGGAATTGGCTCTAGCTTCCCACTTTTAAAGACCAGACACACACACTATGCAATTTAGAGATGCAGCCAGTCAGCAGCATTAAAATTACTGAGAATTCTGAGTGGAACCTATGGAAAAGAAGGACGGTTACATCATAGTGGAGACAAGTTCACCAGACCTTTTCCCTGCTCCACATTGGGGGGAGGGCAGGAGAGGCACAAAGACTGACTGTAGCACAGACACACGAGCAGGGACTTGCCCTATGCTGGGTGAATTATCTGATGGACATTTGCCATTTATGACATTAGATTATGGCCCCTTTATGCCCCACCTGAATGGTGCAAAGAGGCCTTAAGTAGGCTTCAAAATCAGTCATGTGGGTCTCTCTCTTGTTCGCTGTTTCTTCCCTCTCCCCCCCCC